GGTATCAAAAACTAGTCACCCGCTATGACAAGTGTTTGATCATTGGCAGAAACTATGTTGAAAAATAGTTTAAGACATGTATTTTCATGTAAAAATAAAATTGGATTCGAAAAAATTGTTTTACTATTTTTTTTTTTTTTTTTTTTTCAAAATGGTACTTAGTTTTCGAATACGCCTCGTATGTAGAATGTTTAGGTTTGAGATCTATGCCAAGCAGATAGTTAGCAGCAGAGCCAAATTATTAATCATACAAATTTATGCTAAAATCATTGTTTCTTCAATAACGAGATATTTTATTTACTGCCGAAGTGAAATTAAGAATCGGGACTCTCCACATGTTTTATTATGTGCAGAGGGGAGGAATTGAAATGAGATGCAAAAATATATTTAACTTCAGAGGTTCTTGTTAAGGTGATGATTCTAAGGAAGTTGATCTTCATGTTCAGTCTTAATTAATTGGATAAAATAAATGAAGAAGAAAGTAATAATGATATTACTGTTGCAGCTAATGATTTATCATAAAATATACCAAATTATTTTTGAAGTTCATATAAATAACAATGAAAAAGAATGTAAAAGAGGATTAAAAATCCAAGAAGGGGGAGGGGGAATTATGAAAATTCAAATTCAAATGCAAAATTAAGAATCTTGAATATGATAATAGTCCTGTAAATGTGGAACATTTCAATACAGAAAAGGTAGTAAGTAAATTAGTAAAAAAAAAAAAAAAAAAATTACATTCTTCTCTTATTCTGATGTACATCCTTTTCTCATGGATCAGACAAATATATGATCGCCAAAATAATAGACAATTTTTTATGAAAAAAATGAAAAGCCTTTTGCCTGTGATTTGCTGTTTATCAAAACTGGCCTTCAATGTTTATTCCACACATGTATCCCATTTTCCACCTATTCAATTTAATTAATTGATAAAATTTATTGGTAATTCATATTTTCTGAGAAAATTCCTTATGAAGATAAAAAATTCCTTATAAATTTCTTACATAATTCCTTATAAAAATATTCAAAATATAAAATGTAAATGCAATAAATGTTAAATTTAAGTTTTTAAAGAAAATATTTATACAATCAATAGGAATTTTTATAAAATGACAACAGTAGGAAATATTTAAATGAACAATTATAAAAACTCAAAACAACTTGAATGATTTTGCAGCTAAGAATATGGAACTTGCACAAGATCCTTATCCTGTCATGCTTGACACATCTTCAAAATACTGTTACGTTACTTTTCTTCTGACACCAGTTCATATGGGGTTCGTAGATTTGGAGTGAATAACGATGACACTTGATGACGTATCGAAACACACTTTATTTACCAATATTAATCAGATAGCTCCAAAATCACTTTTACAGTCGCCGAACTGTTATAAACACGCTGCCATGTTCAGCGACACAGCCTTCACACTGTCAGGCAATAACGGTGGAGACAGCTTCACTGCAAAGAGCCCGAGTACAGCTCCCAACTCTGCTTGGTCGTTCTCGGAACTCCACATACTCTCGAGACTCTCAACGCGATGTACTCGATGATACACAAGAGTATAGCCCTTGACTCAACACAGTCTAAGACAAAGCTCGACGATGCACTAAAAGACTTTTTCAATGCACTTGATGACCAACTCGATGCTAGACTTCGAGACACTCACTCAATGACTGACTATAGCTCGATAGACGAGGCACACACACTAACTGACTGCGAACCAGCAGGGTTTATATAGCTTTCGCCTTGGGTTCGGGAACATTCTGGGCTAAACCGGTAAGAATTTATTCCAGAAGGTTCTCCATCCGTCCATGGTATATCACCAATTTTGTCGCCAAATGGGTGATTTCTCGCCAAATGTGGCAACACTAAACCTGCTTTGCGGTAAAGCTATCTCACCGCGCCTGTACATTTCATAACAATACCGAATAGCCTGTTTCTGAGAGGCGGGGAACTTAAATAAGAAGATATGATATCAAATGGGGTAGGGAAAAACTGATGTTACATCATTTTAGAAATACACGTAAAAATTAATAAAGTGTGAGAGACATCCTTAACCAAAAAGCAAGCTTTACGGTGATTTTCCATGCTGTATAATTGGCTAGGAGTCGTTGCAGGAATGAAGTGTATTCATGATGAACAGCATTGCTGGAGAGTGCTAGTGAGGGCTGCAGTTATGTAAGTCGATGTTCTAATATATTCTATAAATATTCTAGTGAATTTATATCTATAGAATACATGGGCCACTCCATCCAGTGGATTTGTTCACTTTCAAGATAGTCAGTGTTTCAAGATTGTTCAAGTTGACATAATGAGACAAGCATTATCATCCATTAGAGGGAAATTACTACCAATTGCACTCCTAAGCAACTTGGCATATGGATTATGCACCTCATGTCATGTTGGAAAAAATGTGCAAGTCGGTTGTGACCCATTTTACAGATAATTTTCAGAGGCTTACTGTGTAGTATGTATCAAAAGAATAAATTGAATTTAAATAAATTTAATTTAAATATAAATTTAATTCTTTGCGCTATTGCTGCAAGGAAGGAAATTTAAATTTAAACAAATTTAAAATTTAACAAACATGTACATACGTAAAAAAGCAAATTTAAAGTTAAAATAATTAAAAAATGTGCAAACATATAAAAGATTTAATTTTCGAACTAATCTACAATATCATTTAAATTCAGATAGCATAAGTAAATCAAGTGCAAAACTAAACTATGAAAATAAATTTTTTTGAATGCATAAGTGAATGACTGTTGAGCAGGCAGGAGACAGACTTATCAAGGGGAAGTTGCCTCCAAACCTAACTCTTCAATCATTCAATTCGTGTTTCGTCATTCATGCAGGCAAGGGTAAAAGTCAAAACCAAAAGTAAAGACTGAAAAATGTCCAAAAAGAAATACCAATAAAGTGATACCTTTAGAAATTAGCAATTAAAAATTAAAGTTCTAAAAATAAAATACCAATCAAGTTTTTTGAGAAATAAGCAATGTAAAGTCTAGTATTAAATTAAACTTAAAAAAAAATTAAATTTAAAAAATAAATTTTTCAGAAAAATTAATTTAGAAATCAATGCATTTTAGAAACCCTTGTCGACAGAAACCTCCCCACACGAATATGCATATCAATAAAAAGAAACTAAAAAGGAACTAGACATAATTTATATAAACCAATAAGAAACAAAAAGAACTAATTCATAATTTATAAAAAAACAAATATATACTTAAAAATATAATTTCATATCTAGAAAATACTTAAATACTACATAAAAATATTTAAAAAATACTTAAAGCAAGTAAATAGTAAGTTTTAATTCTAACTTACCTACTATATTAACGTTGGGGTCTGCAAAAGTATTTCCAAACTGATGTGTGTTCTGCAAATTATATAGATGGCGCTTATGTAAGTAAAGTTAAGTGCCAAGCTGCTATCTTTGTTTTATTAAAATTTTTTTTTGTAAACTTTAATATTAAAATATTTAAATAATATAAATCTAGAAAAAATTAAATATCCTAAAAGTATGTCATGATTATTTAAGTTTTAATTTTAACTGATCAACTATTTATGGTAGGCAGTTTAGTAACTGAGCCAAGCAAGAGATGTAAGTTTGCAAATATCATAAAAAGAGTACTAATTGAAGTAAAGTAGAGTTAAGTGGTTATAGTGAATTAATAAACCCGGAGCAGTATTGATGCATGCTTAGATCCATATTGAAGAATAATTTTGATTGTGCAGTATTCTAATAATGTTAACATGGCAATATGTAAAGAACTCGGCAGTTGAGGCAGTTCCAATTCCATTTTTATTTGCAATTGATATTTGTGGCCACAGTCACTTGGCACTCTAGTAGTGCATGTATCACTATCTCCACAGAAGATTTAAATTTTTGCTATTGTTGAGATAGAAAGCAAGCCAGAGAAATTACATCTTAGCACAGTGGAGAGCAAAGCTGAAGTGTGTAGTTATGCAAGATGGAAGCACACAAAGAGAAAAGTTTTGATTTGCAATTTGGTGATTGGCCAAGAGGCATCTGCATAAAGGGTTATGTAAGATCACATGATTAATTTGAATGACACAGTTTAAACTTAAGCGCTATTTTTAGGACAGATAGATGAAGTTCTGAAATGAAATAGAAAATAAAAGAGGTTATAGTGTGTGCATCCCCCCTTTTTTGTGTTTGAATGTTATTTGTTTCTTGAATATTAACAATTTTTCATTAACCAAGGAGTTAGAAAGATACTAAGAACAGTTGACTATGTTGCAATGATTTGCAACATAGTTGGAGATTTATCAACGGTTCTGGTGCTCCTTAAATAATTGGTTGTAGTAAAAAGGAAGTACTCTGTTAACTGTTGATCATACTTACATATGTAATAGATATTCATAAGACAGCATTAAAATTCTTTACGTTATTTAATATTCCAAAATTATTAGGCCAGACTGGCATTAACTCCGAAGGGCTATTCTCGAAATGACATTTTGTGTCGAACCACTGTAAACAGTTGTATCACTTTTCATATTGTTGCCACTAAATATTATCACCCTGTATTACATTTAAAGAAATTAGATAGTGAAGAATCTGCATGAATGTATGCATATTTCTCATTCTGTGTAAAAACAGTATCTAGAACCATCAAATTTTAATAACATAGTCCTCCACCTGAATATGAGCACCTGGAAGCCCAAATCTTGAATTTCGAATTTGTTTTATTATCTATTTCATATTTTTAAAATTGTAACAAATTTTCCTTGAAGAAACCCAATGATTTCAAAGTGAGCAACGACAACACATTGCAGAGAATAAAATATTTTCATCACCAGCACGCAAGACTGTCTCTCGGAAGTTCTAAAGATATGCTGTTTTTAAATATTTTTAGTGCATATGCTCTTGAAATGTGTGAATGAAAAAAAAAATATTTTGGGCATAAGATTTTATTATTATTATTTCCTTAAAATGTAGATCTGTAATATGTCAAAAAACGTCTTTCAGATACGCTTGACAAATGGACAGTGTCTTACTCAGAAGTTTGGCCCCAATGAAGAATTAGCTGCTGTTAGATTATTTGTGGAAATGAATCGTACTGATGGTTCAGGACCTTTTTCTCTTATGACCAATTTCCCTAAAAGAGTATTTACTGATACTGATATGAGTGCACCTCTTAGTTCATTAGGTAAGCAAGAATCCTCTACAATTCTGTTTTGTATCAACTGGAATTTTGTAAATTATAGACCTGAAACCAACATAATATTCCTAGTATGGTTTTCATTAAATAGTTTTTTTGTTGCCTTGAACTTTAAATGAAAAAAAGCAAACTTTTAGTGTAAATAACATAGTATTTAGTTTAAAAATAATTTATTTATACAATATTTCATCATATAAAAAGGATTGTGTTTATTTAAATAAACATTGTTTACAAAATGAGGATCTTTCACTAAAAATGAGAGTATGTTTTTAAAATATAGTTAAACGTATGTAAAAGTTTAAAATATAAACATGTGTTTCTTTTAAGGAAAGAGTTTACAAAGTTAAGAATTGTTACATTGTATAAACCAGGGATGGGCAAACTGCGGCCCGGGGATAGAATTTTAATTTGCCGATCCTAGGCAAATTAAAAGAATTCTATATTATATATCCATCTCATTTTCTACTTTGTTTAAATATTATTTTTTTTCCTTCCTTTTTTTTCAAAGGACTTTTTTACTTCCTCTATTTTTGTTCTACAAAACATTAAAAAAAAAAAAAAAAATTAGCTACCCGAACGAAAGTATCGGTGTCTGATTGGCTATTCACGCAATCTTTCGAAACAGGTGTTATCCATAAATTTAGGCAGACTGTGACGAAAGCGTGAAGCTGGAAGTTCTTTAAGAGGCGAAAGTGATGATGAAGGTGCTCGAGAAAAAAAAAGGGAGGGGGGATTCTGAAAATATTTGCCAAAAATTAGAGCAATTCCAACCTGGAAGGCCACAACCCTTCCGACGCCAATAGGAACGAGATGCCTGGAAAGTGCATTTTCAATAAACTGTGGCTTCATCAAGCTGACTACAAAGACTGGATATTGATGGATGGCAATCCTTAAAAGCTAAATGTGGTCTTTGTCTGAAACAAATTGAAATTTCTAGAATGGGAGAGTCAGCACTGAAAATTCACATGAAAATTAAGTTTCGTTTTATCATTTCAATTTGTTTTTACACGGTTTTGCTTAGCTTAATTTCTGTGTTTGTTTCAATTAAGCCATAAATTAATTTTTTATCACCTTCTACGGAGTTTATTCTCTTTTGCACATACTATATGTATGGGATATCGGGATTATGAGTTTATTTCTGCAGAGGGTCTGTTATCGATTTCGCGGGAAATCTGTTGGCTCCATTTCGATTTTAGGTCGCCAAGGGCAAAATTCGGTAACGCTAGCTGAGAAAAAGTGAAGTTCGGAAATACATTTTGAAGCTTCAATAGACAATTAAGTATTTGGTTTAAACCTATGTTTTTGATAGTAATGCATAATTTTTGCTAATGGCGATACAATTATTAGTTGAAAATAACTAATTAAAATTTTTTAAATATTTTTAAAGCTGAAAACAACTAATTGAAACTAATTTTCCTGAATTAACTAGACGCAAAATTAACTTTCATGAATTACTAAAGTTATTGGGTAGAAGTTTAACTGAAAATATACATTCCGTATTATATATATATATCAACAAGTATATTTTGAAAACAATTTGTCTAAAACATCTTGGCAATGCGCAATAATAAAAATAAAATATAGTAAGCTCGCCTAAAATTACCAAAGCTCTGCTCCAAAAGTTCAAACTAAAAAAAAAAAAAATATGAAATCACCATTAAACATGTAAAACACAAACAAAACAAAACAAAAACAAAACAAAAAAAAAAAAAAAACAGAATCAGATAAAAAAGTAAGCGGAAAATGGTAAATTAGCCCAACTTCGTACTTCCAAACTTAGCTTTTCAAGGGGAAATTTAATTTATTTGAATGTTCGAATCTAAGCTAACCCCATTACGGTGTTTCGCCGAAGCAGACAATTGAAACTTTTTTGCTACAAAAATTTTTTTAATGAATTTAGATAAACTAGTGTCTTGGAAATTTTAATAGTCTCAATTCTCTGTTCCAATTTCCCGACGCGTCCGCACAAAATTACACATTAAGGTGTTAAAATATGTTAAACTATACCTAAACATCTTATATCTAGACTAAAATCAAAATTAAAATCAAAAATAAAATCAAAATAAAACGAAAATAAATAGCGGTCAGCTATTAGTCCTAAGTATACAAAAAACATACGGGCTGGGTCTGTAAGCTTAAAGATTAACAATTTATTTTTTTTATATATTTTAGAAATCTGTAAGGAAAAACTGTAATTAAAATAAAAAGAAAATTAAGATGATAACAAACTAAGTGGGTCTTAAAGAAAAAGTTGTAACAAAAGAAACAAAAAACTGACCTGTGGCGATGCAAAGCTCTCCCTCTTAAAACTAGTTGAAAAGTGGATGTAATTCCCTTCTGTGTACTTCATCCGAATGACATACGTAGGGGGGGGCGAAGTTCTGTGGGCATTAGCCAATACGAAGAGATTGTCAGTTATCTGCAACTCGTCTCCTATTATTGAAGGGGGACGGAAACCTCGGAAAAACGTGAAAAGATCTCAAAAATGGCGCCTGGCATGTAGTTGGATGGAAAAAATTTTTTGTCTCGAAGTTAAAATGGCTAATTCAGCTAAAACTACAAAAACTTGGCCATTAAAGCAAGAGTAAAAGGAAAAAACAGTCATTTGTTAAAAAAGTCTTAATTCTTCAAGCTAGCGGGTGATCAAGCTACTATGAAAAACGAAAAGGTCCGATTTGTTAATCATAGCAGTAAAATTGGCCATTATAGAAATTTAAAACTATGTACACAATAGTATTTAAAAGTTAAGTGCCAAAATTTTGGAGGAAAGAGAATGAATAAACAAGAATTATCTGTACATTTTTACATTAGATTCTCTGAATTAGTCATCCATCTTAAACCATCCGTGGCTTTAGGTATAAAATATCATTATCTAATTCAAAAAATCTAAAAATAGGTAAGGCTAATGCCAGCTTTTGTAAGGGTATTTTTAATTATTTTATGAGGAATTAGGTTACTTTTTAAAATAGTTACGAAGTATAGTATTTCTTCTCGTTTTGCAGTATTGCATATTCTTTTTATTCTAAGTAGCTGTGAATAAATTGTGTTGAGTATGACTCTTTTGGAAATATTTGAATTCCAGTTAGTTAATTTAAGTGTGGAAAAATTAAATTCTCTTCTTTTGTCGTAAACTTTAATAAAATTGTAATCTATAATATGTAAATCAAGGTAGATTACATTATGTTGTTCTGTATTTGTTTTATTTAGTTTTAAGCATGCAGGGTAGATATTAGCTATTTCTATTTTGTGTAGTTATTAAATGGAATGACATCATCAATATATCTATAGATGTGTTGGTAAAAGATACGTTCTTCTGAGTGACTGAGTGAACATAGGTCAATTCTTTAGTAAACAGGAATAATTCACAGACAGAGCTTGAAAAATTACCGCCCATAGGAATTATATATATATATTTATATTTATACAGTACAAAGTTCGAGGTCGGGACTTCGGCGATCCCAGATTTGAGATTTTTCCGGATATTAGATCATTTTAAATCTACTAAGATGGCACTTAGAAATTATAAAATTGAAAATATGAAATCATGATTTATGAAATAATGAAGCATTTATGATTTAAAGGCTATCAAAATTTACAAAAAGAAAAAGCTTAATATTTATTTGTTTACTTTATTAAACATTTCTTTCAATGTAAGTTGTTTAAGTTGCTTCGTTTTATGTGATAATACTTTCTCTTTACTTTATCGGAAGCGAATTATAATGACAAGAAATTTGATTTAAATCATATCAAAGACGGAGTACATCGAGATGAAATACTACATGTAGTAAGGAATTATAAGCCAAATAAAATATAAACATCTGCTCTGAAGATAAGGATAGTGCTGACAGATTACCTTTCAATTCATTGCGCGCTGCGGCGTTTTGGCGTCCCCCCCCCCCGTGCCGCAGAGCAGCGTGAAATTGATAAACAGATTTCGGAATGGTTTGAGAAACGAAGAATATGCCTTTATCCATTTTTTGAGATGTATGTTTGCTTGAAGGAAATTAAAGTGAAGTGTGAAGTGGTATGTGAAAAAAATGCAAACTGTTTGTAATTAGAAATGCGTGTTCTGTTGAAAAACTGTGAAAATTGTTAAAAAAATTAAGTGAAAGATATTTTGTGTGAAAATTGCAAAAAATTAAAGTAATTAAAAAAAACTGAAATGTTTTAATATTAAAGTTTTAAAGTAAAATTTCACAAAATTTTTTTGAATCGAAGTTTTTAAAAAGTCTCTAAAAATTCCCAGAAATTTCTGAAAATTTTTAGGAAGTTAAATAAACTTAATTTGATGAAAAAAATATTAAATTTATATTTTAATGTTACAAACTAACTAATATGGCTAAGATGAAATTAGAAAATTAAACTTCAAATTGGCATAATTGAACTTTGGGAGTTGCCTACTCAAATTTACAAAAGAAAAGAGCTTAATATTTATATGTTTACTTTATTAAACATTTCTTTCAATGTGAGTTGTTTGATTTGTTTTCTCTGCTAATACTTTAGACTAATACTATAGACATATAATTTCTTGTTGAGTTATTAAGTCCATTGTTCAAGTCCTGTAATTGCTGTGTCGAGAATTCCAAATAACTTGTCAATCAAAAATTTTTTCTCATTCAGTAACCTCTCTGTTACTTTCTTCACTATCGGTAGCTGTATTTTCTGGATTTAGAACCATACTACAGATTTCGCCCTCCGTTAATTGATTGATGATTGGGGCATTGTCATCGCAATGAAAAACTTCTGTTTAACTTCCCTAAATTCTGCCGCCTGGTGCGGCCATGCGAGCTCTGGCGCTGGTTCTGGCTTTATGTGAATAACAAATCAGTTATTCTTAATTCAAATAGCACTAAATATAATCGTTTGTCCTATGAGTATCATTAACAAAATCTATTTTTAGCATAAGGAAAGAAATTTCTGTTAAATCTCCCCTTGTCAACATTTTAGCGCATTAAACTTAAATCTGTAATCGGATAATACTTTGTTATTTGGCGTAGCTGCATGAGTCATCACTCAAGTTGTCATCAGTTGATAAACATGCGATGATGAAAGCAAAATACAATAAATAATGATTCGCGATTTCGGCATCAAGGATATAAAATATTAGTTGGTGTAAAATTAACAAA